TGTAAATGGGCAGGCTTTCTTGATTTCTCTTTCTGCATGTTCACTATTGGAGAATAGAAATGCTGCTGATTTTTGTGTGTTGATTTTGTATCCTGCTACTGCACTGAAATCATTTATCAACTGCAAAAGTTTTTTTGTAGAGTCTTTAGGCTGTTTGATATATAGGATCATGTCATCTGCATACAGGGACAGCTTGACTCCTTCTTTTCCAATCTGGATGCCCTTTATTTCCATCTCTTCTCTGATTGCTCTGGCTAGTACTTCCAATACTGTGTTGAATAGGAGTGGTGAGAGTGGACATCCTTGTCTTGTTTCCGTTCTTAAAGGAAAAGCTTTCAGCTTTTCCCCATTCAGGATGATATTGAGAGTGGGTTTGTCATATATGGCTTTAATTATGTTGAGATACTTTCCATCTATACCTAACTTATAGAGGGTCTTTGTCATGAATGAGTGTTGAATGTTATCAAATGCTTTTTCAGCATCTATAGAGATGATCATATGGTCCTTATGTTTGACTTTATTAATATGGTGTATCACATTTATTGATTTNTTTTTTCAGAGCATTGATTTCCTTGTACATTTCTTCTTTCAGGTCCTGTATACTTTTCCTCGTTTTATCATGATGTTTAGCTGAGTTTTCTTGTATCTCATTCAGTTTCCTTAGAATTATCACTTGAAATTCTTTGTCAGTCATTTCAATGGCTTCTTGTTCTATAGGAGCTAGATCTTGAGAGTTATTACCCTTTGGTGGTGTACTTTCTTGAATTTTCTTATTTCTGGTATCCTTTCTTTCATGTTTATTCATTGTGGCAGTGGGTTTCACAGTCCACAGGTTTGACACTATTGTCTGACTAAGATGTTGCTGGGGTTGCCAATTTGGTATGGCTACCTTAGTGACTGTTCAGTTGGCCCCAAGTGCCTTGCGTGTGTGGTTGCCTCAGGTCTTGGGCCTCTCTGGGGAGTCACCTCTCTGGTTGGCTTGGACTCTGCCGGGCTGGTGGGTCATGGGGGTACTGCAGGGTGTGTGGTCCCTGCTGAGCTTCTACCTCCCGTGCTGGATGTCTCCCTGTTCCACGTGCACTGGGCCGGGCTGCTGGGATGCGTAGAGGCACCGCAGAGCGTGTGGTCTCTGTGGAGCTTCCCCTTCCCCTGCTGGATGTCTCCATGCTTCCTGCTCGCTGGGCCGAGCTTGGGATGGAGCTGGGTGGTGGCAGTGAAGACTACCTGCTGCTGGATCATGCAGCGGCGGCCCCCCCACAGGGTGTGTGGTCTCTACGG